CAAGCACACACACTCACCAACTCCCTGTTGGGCACGTTGACCAAACAGATCGTTTATGGGGCCACCGGACCTCGACTAATTTGCGGGGATTTCAATTGCAATGGTATCCTCGAGCAGCAGAGACTTTGGCAAGCACAGGGATGGCATTGCGCCCAAGACTATGCGGTCAAGTTCTTGGGACATGAGTGGACACCGACGAACGGTGCCAAGTCAGCCGTTGATCAAATCTGGATTTCGCCTGAAGCCGCGATGCTGCTGCAGCGAGTTTCCATTTGCCAAGTCTTTCGAGGACATGCTACTCTTGCTTTGCACTTCAGTGCAGAACAGACAGCAACACAGATTCTCTGCTGGCCGAGGCCTTCGCTTCTGCCCTGGGAGACCTTGAAAAGTTCATATGACCAGCTTCAAGATCGCCTACCAGAACTGCCATCGGGGGATGCCACTATGGCATACAAGGCATGGGCGAAGAGCATTGAAGACAATTTTGAATCAGCTGCCAAGTCGGAGGACCTGCAACTGCCACCACAAGCTCGGGGTCGAGGACAAAGGACCTCACCCAGTCAGCGCACAGTGTTGGTAACCACATGTCGACGCCCAAGAGAAGGTGAGCTGGAACTCAAATACGATTTGGTTAGTACAGCAGTGCGACACTGGTATGTGCAAGGGCGACGAATGCAATCGCTATTGCATGCACTTCGCTCCGCTTCCAGATCCCTGAACAGTGAGGTGCACAAGATAGAACTTTGGAGCGCTATTGTCCGCTCCAAGGGCTTTGAGGCTACATTTTCTGACTGGTGGAATAATAGGGAACCCAAACTGCCTGATACGCAGTTCTGTCTTCCCGTGGGCTGCCCTGAGCTGGCAAAAATGGACCTTATCTTTCAGGAGTTCCAGATCCACTTTCGCCTGTTTGAAGCATGGCATGCCAAGCAGCGCATCGAGCGCTATGAAATGCTGCATGAGAAGTCCACCAGGCAGTTGCACAAAGAGCTGAAAGGACAGAAATCCGACTGTGTTCAACATTTTCATTTCGATGAAGCTTTTGAAGTTGTTGACACTGATCAAGATAGGATACGGCTAGACAAACCAGCCAACGTTTCGACCCACAGTTGCTGGTTGCATGAAAGCGAGTTAATTCATTTGACCAATTTTGAACATGGGCTCTTTAAGACCAGCAAACCACTTGCTCTTGGAGACACCATCATTTTGCGCAATTTTGTTTCAGACACGGAAGGCATCTGTTCGAGGTTGACAGAACACTGGAGTCAACGTTGGTGTCAAATTTCAGCACAGTCACCTGAACAGATAGGTAAGGTGCTTGACTTTGCCAGAGCTTTTCTTCCACGTCTCGATTTTCAATTGGCTCCGCTCACCATTCAAGACTGGCGTCAAGCCTTGAAGCGGATGAAAATTGCTGCCGCCCGGGGAGCTGATGGCATCAGCCGATTGGATCTGCTCTCGCTCTCTGACAGGCACCTGGATTGGCTTGTACAGCTCTTCAATGCTATTGAGGCCGAAGACATGCCATGGCCACGGCAGATGCTTACGGGCCTGGTGACCTGCATCAGCAAAGTGGATGATCCACATTTACCTGATCATTTTCGACCGATCCACTTGTTCACGGTCGCTCACAGGATTTGGGCCAGTATCAGAGTCCGACAGTTGCTTCGACTTCTGCTGCCTTTTGTACCGGATGAGCTTCATGGCTTCATGCCTACTAAGGAGACAACCCAGGTCTGGTTTGAAATCCAGTGTTGGATTGAACTTGCCCTGGCACAAGGGGTGGACTGGCACGGATGCTCGGCTGACATTCAGAAATGCTTCAACAGCATCGAACGTCCTGCTTACTTGGTGCTTGCAGAGCAATTGGGTACTCCCAACTGCATTCGTGTGCCTTGGCAAGCATTTCTGGCCAGCTTTGAAAGGCGCTTCCAGGTCATGCACACGGTTAGCTCCCCGATACATTCGATTCGGGGCTTCCCGGAGGGCTGTCCTCTGAGTATCCTCACCATGATACATATAGGTTGGGGCTACCATACCTTCATGCGCTTTTTCCACCCCAGGGTTCAGTGTTTGTCTTTTGTGGACAATCTGGACTTTCATGGCGGCACAGCTGAAGAGATCTGTCAAGCTGTGGATGGCACGCAAGACTGGTTTGAAGACTATGGGCTTCGTCTAGACCTGTCCAAGACATTTTACTGGTCTACCAGAGCCGCGGTACGCCAGCAATGGCAACGACAAGGGTTCAAGGTCTTCACGGACACCAAAGAACTAGGTGGGGCGATGACTTTGTGCAGATCAGTACGGAACAGAGCCCTGAAAGCCAGATCAGAAGGCCTTGAAACCAAATGGAAGCAACTATCCAAATCTTTGGCGCCAGTATTTCACAAGCTGCAGGTGCTAGCAACTGTTTTCTGGCCCTTAGCACTTCACGGTGCTTCCGCGCGTTTACTAGCAGAAGGGCACCTCAACGCCCTGAGAAGAGCAGCCACTAAGGCCACTGGGCTAAACTGCGCCGGGGCCAACTCGTGGCTTCGCTTCCTGTTACTGGACAAGACAGTGCAAGACCCAAGCTTTTATCACCACAAGACAGCGGTCATGACGTTTCGACGAATGCTCCAAAAAGTGCCGGATCTTCTGCAACTGTGGAGATTACATTTTGGGCACTTGCAAAGTCCTTTCTTCCCTGGGCCGTATACCAAATTGATTCACTTCTTTGGCCTGATTGGCTGGACGGTGGTGGACCCACCCTGGATTGCAGATCACCATGGATGCCTCCACGACCTGCTCACTCAGGACAAGTTGGGCCCAGTATGTCGTGACACGTGTCAAGCATGCCCGGATGAGTGACCTGGCTGGCATTGAGCTGGAACTCTCTCGCCTGGATCACTACAAGCTCGATCCAAGGGCAAGGTTAAGAATCTCGGCCATCCAAACCGGTGCTTTCTTGTCAGCTAGTGAACAGAGCAAATTCGACACGACCAAATCCTTTCTGTGTCAGGAATGTGGTGTTCCTGATGATAGGGTTCATTGGCAACACTGCCCCCGATATGCCACCATCAGGGAACAGCAGAAATTTGACCCTTCTGTTTTTGCATGTTTGCCCGATTGCACCAGATACCACCTTTTGGTGCCCATGCTTCCTGAATCCTTGAAACTGATGGCATATTTGGAGGCCATGCCTGATCGCACCTTGGATTTCGAATCTTTTGAGGTCGCCCCCGGACGAATCCAACACTTGTTCACGGATGGGGCTTGTTGTAAACAGGGTCTCTCCACTAGTCTGGCGGCTTGGTCAGTTCAGAATGCCTCCACGGGAAAACTCATAGCTGCGGCGCCTCTGCATGGTGGTAAGCAGACAGCACATCGCGCTGAGCTAAAGGCGCTCCACTCAGCAGTGGCCTGGGGCAACTGGGTCAATGCCCCAATCTGTCTCTGGTCAGATTCCGCGAACAACGTGGACATGCTGGAGAAGCTCCTACAAGGGGACCTGATCCACCTTCCTGAGCAGGAGCTTGACATCTGGACCAGTATAGCAGCTGAGCTGGAACACAGAAGGCATTTGGCCACCTACATCAGGTGGATTCCTTCTCACCTTTGCCAAACCTCCCTTGAGGATGACTTCGAAGCTTGGATCTCGCACTGGAACGACCGTGCTGACACAGCCGCAGTTCTTACGAATTTGCATCGAGATCCGCTTTGTCTGCAGTTGGCTAAAGAGAAGGCGCGCCAATATGAGAGAATCGGTGCTCTTTTGCGGCAGCTCCGAGCTTTCTACCTGGCAGTTGCAGATGCAACCGAACCACGGAAGTCGCCCCACCACACGACTGAGGCACCGGTAGTTAGAACGGTAGATGCTGACACGCTCACCGAGCACCTTCCAATTGGCTGGAAAGCCATGCTCACTGGATTGCAGCAGCCGTACCCACCGGAATTCGCCAGCAACCTGATTGAGCGGTTCATTGAGTGGGAATCGCTGGAGATTTGTCCTTTTTGGGTGTCTGACATTGAGTTGGTTTTCATTTTGTCGAGCATCGGTTTCTCCTTTCCTTTGGACACTCCGGCTGGGCGGAGGATGACGCCTTTCTTTGAGATGTTTGCCAAGCCTCCTATCACTCAGTTGTTGAGGCCGATTTCTGTTACGGTTGATTTGGTTCTGCGTGGTTTTGGGCTCCATGAGTGGAGGAGAGTTGATTTTCGTTCGGATGAGCTTGGCATCTTAAAGAAAGGCGGAGCCACCTTTCTTGGGGTACCTGAAGGGCTGGCCACGAGAGCCAGGGAGGCTGTGATCCAATTCACACGCCGGCGACCTTTCAGGACCGTCCAGGATTTTTCCCGTCCACTTCCCGCTTTTTAGACATTCTTGGCCTGAGACAGTGGTCGCTCCGCGCCGCTCTTGCTGCGCGAGGATCACGGGACGCGCGGTCCGAATCGTCTGCGACAAAGAGAGATTTTATAAGCTCCCTGGGGAATGACAATCTGGAGATGTACTGATGTCGCTGCTAAAGATGCGCCATGACACTGAGTCGCGCTCGCTTGGGGTCGCTTGCGGTCGCTTGCGTCGCTGCGGTTTCTGCAAGGGGGAGGTGGAACGTTGAACATTTTTTCGATTATGGCGCCCTCCTGGCAGCCACCCATTGATTTGATTTGATAGAATGACTCCGGAAGAGCTCGGTGGTTTCACGAAGGATTTGAGACGGAAGAAACACCAGCTCGACCCCGTTTTCCAAATCGTCAAACTGCGGTTCGGTGAACCGGTGACAAGTGGACTCGGCACCGTCGAAGCTGATTTGACCGATTTGACCGCAGACCTGAGATGGTAGGCTCCAACACCAGGCAGTGTTCAAGCAATCCGAACGTGCGTACTACTCAAAAAGCAGACAGTCAACATCTTGATGCATGCCATGCAGCATGCCTCATGATGAGAATTCATCAGATCCCACAAACTTGAAGAGTTATATAATGTGTTTTCCTTTCTATTTTGCCAGCTGTTCACTTTGGGGAAGGTTTAGCACTTTGGAATCTGGACCTTTTCTGTGAAGATCACCTTGGGACCCTTTTTCACCGTTCAACGGACCCAACCGTGAGTGCCAACGCCGTGCGTGCCACACCGCGACCGCTACCGCGAGCAGTGGTCGATGCTGCGGGCCATGCGCGTGGGGAGGCCAAGGAGGAGGAGATCGGCGCCGGGTGATGGAGGGTGGTGGAGGATGTATGAGTTTTCGGAAGCCCTATCGAGAAGGCTGAGATCTAGCTGGCTAGATTTCTAGATGGATTTGCTTGATGCAAGCTGGATGTTGGCATGATTTCTTCGGCAAACGGCAAGAAGCCAATGCTGATGTTGAGATGATCCGATGCCAACCTTTGCTCCATCCGGTGAGACGATTGCATCGCAATCGAGACACCCAGCCTTCATCCACCAGAAGTCTAGACATCGCGATGTGGGGAAAACGCGTTGCCCAAAGGAAGACGAGCACTTAGCACAGGAAATCTGGTTCCTCTATCCTTTATACTGGGGCTCTTTCTTCACTGTTCTACATGTTTTCGGGTTCTCTGAAAGAATGGGGTGGCCAAGTCCGTGGGATGCTCTGGGCAACGATTTCGGAGGACCGTCCGTGGGTCCGTCCGGCGCGGGCTACGGCGACGGCTACTCACCCACCCTCTGGAAGAACCTTTTGGAGCAAAAACCACATACCCAGACACTCCATGTATGGAATATATGCCTACATTGACCCCCCAAACCACCCCAACTGATCGGCATATATGCTATACATGGAGTCTTTTGGATAAATCAATCATCATGGATCAATATCTCATCGTTGATCTGTGATTGGTCCTTCACAGGACAGCCTGTCGTATCAAGAGTCGGACAGCTTGTTGCGACCGTCGCTAGCTGTTGCCAGGTCGGGCCCTCGGTAGCTGTAGCTACACGCTTTTTTGAAGACCTTTACTCCCATTAGGACTCCTGTCCCATCTCCTCAGAAAGGTGGGCACAGACCCCCCCAAACCATCCACCCTACCACCGAACCGAAACGGAGGTAGTTGGAGCCCTATACAAGCATCCGATCCGGTGGCCAACCCCAACGCACCCGGAGGCACCGCACGGCGCGCTGCGCAAGGCGCCCGTTTCCACGGGGTCCGCCCTATTGTCCACGGGGTCTCTTGGTGCGAACGACATCAGTCGGGAGGAAGCGCCAGTGATTTGGTTGGGAGAACTCCCCTTGTCATCGTCGAATTGGGACAGTGACCTACTATAGGGGGCTTTGGAACTGTCTAAGACTCTAACTGGTTGGGAGAATGGACGAGGTGAAGCTTGTTGAACCTGAGGAGTTGCGGGATGGGATGGACAATAGGCGCCCACTGGCGGCCACTGGGGGCAAAGCTGTGGGCAGGTAGCTGCTTTTGTTCGTTCGGGCAGAGGAGGAGATACAATACATGGCTTTGGCTGCACCATGGGAGGCATGGAAGCCATGTCTCCTGAATCCTTCAGGACCAAAACACTTCACCCCGGAGGCAGAGACACGAAACGGGTACCCTTGTTCAGAGACGATGTGACGTCAGTTGATCTTTTTCGGAACGGGTGCACCCTGGAGACCCTGAAGACGAGCTGGAGACGAGCTCAAGACGACCCGACGACAAGATGAGACTTTTGAAACTGGGAAGGTACAAGGGAGCTTCACTGTAGCTGCTACAGAGTTCGTTCCCCTTCAGCACTTGCAGATGCGAAACCCAAAGAATGAAAAAGACAAGAAAGACCACTCACTGAGATTTTGGAAGGGACCCAAAACTATTGGAGATTTGCGGTTCGTTTCGTTGAGCGGAACCTTGGGTGCTCCTGCATGAAAGCCAACGAAATCAGTTTGGGGAAACACCAGGTGCAAGACACACGGTGTTTAGCTCCATAAAGAGCAGGCTAAGGTTGAGACCTCCGGGGGTCTTCATCATCGCTTTACCTTGATCCTCCCAAATCACCACGGAAGTCCCATCTTGATCCCGCGAAAAGGACTGCTGTTTGATGTCCGCAGAGTCACAAGATGTTTGTATCAGAAGAGAGACCTCCCTCTCCAAAATCACAGGCAAACACATGCACTCCCTGATCCATTTCAACCACCCAAGTGCTTCTCCACACTCCCGAAGTGTTTGTTGTTTCCTTTTCAGAGGCAAGTCCTGGGTCTTGTGCACTTCTTCCCCAAACGCCGTCCACCATCACAACCCTTCTCCTCCCACCCAGGCCATCCGCCAGATGCTCGAGGTTCCTGGCCACGAAGAAGGAGGAGCATCTTGGATGCCGGAGTTCGAACGTCCGACGCCCGAGGATCGTCCCAAATGCACTGGCTGGCTGTGTTGAGGTCTTTTGTTTGGGTGGAGACGGGATGGACTTCCATGACAAATGTATGTAACTAACAATAGTCATAGTCATGATAACAATAATAATGATAATAATAACAATCTCTCTCTCTCTATATATATATGTATTTAATATAATATATATATATCTATCGTATCTGTTTGGAAGAGCAAAAAACAAGGGTTTTTGAAGGGTTCCGGCTTTTGAGTGAGTGTTGACAGTCTTGCTTTCGGTTTCCAAGTTCTTACCATCCAAGTGCAAGCTCACCATCTTCAGTCATCAAAGTAACCTTCCTCCATTGGCTCGGAACGCGGTGCGTAGGTCCGACGATGTCGGAGTGCCGCGACGTGGCGACGTGCAGCGAAGCCACGGTTCAACCTGGGGCGGTCGGTTCAACACGAAAACGGCATCCGTTTCGTTCATTGAGCAGACTGAGCAAACTAACCAGATGAGCAGACTGAGCAGACTGAGCAGAGCAGATGCTTTGCTTGAGGCTTCCGTAGATGGTCGCTTTGAGGCAGCGATCGGATCTACCAAGACGCTTTGGAACTTCGCGTTGGGGATTTTGAAGGTGGGTAAACCATGTAGACCCTTGATTAGTAACCTTCCCCATCCTTCCCCAAATTTGGATTGAGAAACCTCTTCATATGCGGGTTTCTTCACACCATTCCCCCCTCCCCCCCTCTCCGCACACTTCCGGCGAAGAAAGCACGTGCCTTCCGCGTCTTCCGCGTCTTCCGCGCCCGGCCTCAGCGGTTCGCTGAGGAAGAAGGTGCCCCCGGAGACACCGGAGGAAGTCACGCGGAAGCTGCGCGAGCAGAGGGACTACTGGGACAAGCAGGAGCGAGCCTTTGGGGTCTTTTGGGGGGAAGGAAATGAGAGAGCCCTTTGGTGAAGCTATCCTTTTTGGGGAAACACCGTGGAACACGTGGTCTTAAGGCATTTCTTTCTGTCTGAATCCCTTAAAGAACCCTTGCTTTACGAAGGATTTTGACGCTACACCACCAGGTCAAGCTTCAATGGTCTTTGAAGGCTAGGGCTTAGGGAAACAGTGGAACACATCATGGTGGACTTTTCAACAACGTGAATCGGGGCTGAGAGAGTGGTGGAAATTCTGATTTACATTTTATGGCATGCAGCATGCTGGGCATGTTGATTTTCGAAGCTGGTGATGTGGGCTGTGGCAAACACCATTTGATTTGTTTCGATGTCTTCTTTTTCGACATGTTTTTTTGAAATGTGAACATGATTCGTGAGAGATGGGAGAAATCATGGCTCTTAGCTTGGAGGCCATGGCTCTTGGGTTCAGACTCCGGTCGGACAAACGGCGAAAGCAGAGGGGCGACCTCCCAGGGGCGACCTCCCAGGCGGCCACCGACACGAACTCTGTTCGTGAACTCAACCAGTAGGCTCAGGGGGCCAAGGGTGAAGCTCCCTTTCTGTCAAGACGCACCCATGTCATACCATGTGACAAAAGACCCTGGGGACCTCCCCCACATACCGGGGACCGAATCTCCCCACATCCCCCCCAGCATGGTGGCGCTCGAATGGCGGCGCGCGCCGGGCACACGGAGCTAGGAGCGGTCCACCGTGAAGACCATCCTCTCACAGTGGGGAGGTTGGAGCGGGGCTCCGAGGTCGATGGGCACGGTCAGAGAGGGAACTGTTTCACAAGAATTCGTCTTTTTAAAGCATGTACTGGTTGGATGGTGGCCAGGCGTTTGGTCCTAATTTTAGTTAAGTGTATACCATCTCTCTTTTCTTGATTTTATTCACATGTGCTTTTATAGGAGGGTTCCTTCCCATATGAGCTGCTGGAAACATCAGTCCCAGCTCTTGTGTACACACTCTGGTGTAGCAAGCACTGCAGCCAAGGGCTTTCCCGAAAAACATTTTTCTGCACGAAAATCAATGACACCCTTTTGTGACAAAACATATCGCTTATCTTGGCGCCAACCTTTCTTGCGCCAACATGAAATGAACGAAGTCTGACACTGACATGCTGCACGAATATACACACATATACTGACCAAAGTGACCATAATAAAAACAGAGGTCAGTCAGGCTCCAGGTATATAAAGACCCGCTTCTCTTTTTCTGCACGTGTTTCTTCCGGCCTTGCAACCCCACGAGTTCTTTCTTCCGTTGCCACGTTGGCGCCCTTGGCCCAATTGGGTCACCGACGAGCGGACGAGCTGCTGGAGAAACGGCCGCGACGACGACGGGTCGTTTGAAGGCCCCCGGCACTGGCGGTTCAAGATTCTGCTGATTTGGTTCAGATTACACTCCGACGAACACATCACATGTGTAGGATCCCTCAAGCGCCGCACACAAAAGTCCTTTCTCACAAGCGCTAACGATGCGTTCTATCGCTCTTCAAGGATTGCTAAAGTGAACTGGGCAAAAGGGGCCAAATGGCTTGTGGACGCAAATGTGTTTGACGTCCTGCAATGACACTACTGAAAGTGCATGGGCCGCGCTGGCCTCGAAGCCTCCACATCCGAGTGGATTTCAAACAACAAATCGCAAACGAGAAGAACCGAAACGAAATCACTCACTTAGCTTCAAGAGATCTCTTTGTTCTTTCTTGAGTCTCTTTCCGCTAAACATATCAGCATCCTCGACAATTCGCCAAGTTTGCTTGCATGCTATGAATCTGTTCATTTGTTCATCTTCTCCTCGTTTTGTTAAGCTGTTGGCCAGCATGGCCTGACTGTTCACCCATCGAATCTCCAGGCCGGTCTCCTTCTGAGCGTTTTTCAGTGCCAGCAACTCTATGTCAATCTTTTTGGATTCTCCTGTTGGTGAAATGTAGGGCCTTTGCAACTTGTCGTACACTGATCGTGAATCGGTGATGAGTGTACCTGGTGTCAGCTTAGCCAATCCGTCAGGGTCCCGTACATGGGGAACATGACCTTCCATTTCACTCCATTGAAAACGCAAAAGGAACAAGATGTCCTCCGCGTCTATTGCCGCATGAGCTTCCGACGCTCCTGGTGCTCTACACACTCTTCCTATCTTGGAACTTTGCCAAAACAAGGGAGTTATCTTGGCGAGATTTCCTGAACTGAGCCCTTTGTCCGCGGCTCCACAAAAGATTCCTTTGGTGGAATGACCTGAACTTCTATTTTGGTTGCTAGCGTCACACCAAGCATAAAAGGAAACCCTGTCCGGTTTGATGGGAAAAATCCTCAAAGGTTCCTTGGCAGCATCTTGAATCTTGTGGATGAGGGCATTCACCTGAACAATGGTTTCAACCGTGGAACTGGGAACCTCACTGAGATGAAGTGACACGTAAGCGGAGAACCTATAGCCCACCTGGGAACAGTGCCAAGAGAGAGCTCCCAAAACACCACGCAAAGCTTTCTTTTCTTTTTCCGTGGTTTCTTCTTTTCTTTGTTTCCTACGTTCCGCCGTCAAAGGAATGGGAATGGTGTGGGACATGTATTTTTCTTGGTTCAACGAGAAACTGTAATCAGCATGCTGCTCAATCTGAACACCGCATTGGGTGAATCTCTTCTCCTCGAACTCTCCCCATCGGAACTTCTCCTGAATACTCTTTTTTGCACGCATCCACACGTCGTCCGATGCATCTCCTACGAACAAGAAATCATCCACGTGTCCCGCCACTATGGCGTGTACCTGGTCTCCTTTTTGGAGTATCCAGCAACACGGGTCGGCAAATGATTGTCGAAAGCCTAAACTCAAAAAATGTGCCCGTACGGACTCATACCATTCATAGGGGGCCTGTACAAGTCCGTAACACGATCGTCTCAATCGTGTCACGCTTTCTTTGGGGATCCCCATTCTCTCACAAAGATCCTCTGTTGGGATACAGAACATTTCTTCGCTACACTCCCTACCCTGTAAGAATGCTGCAGCGACATCACCTTTCCAGCACGTCCATCCTCTATTGGCTGCTTGTTGCAGCATGAGCTGTCTGGTATGTCTGGTGGTCGTCGGTGCATATGTGATGCGGTGCTCATATTTCGGGTCCTGATATCCCAAAATCACCAGTCTGGCCTTAGGAACTGTCGCTCCTTCGCCATCGACCTTCCAACTCAGCAACCACCTGATGGCCATTGCCTTGTTCCTGTCTGGTTGCAAGTGGGGAGGTAGGGCTTCTAGGGCTTCCGACTGTATGAACTTGTTGATCTCTGTGTCCTTTGCTTTTCGAAATTTTGCTTTTGTATCTTCGTCCATGTTTTTCTCATAGACCTCCACACTCTTCTTTTTGAGGGTGTTGACAATATAGGCTTGTGGGTCTCTTGCCATTCGCATCCAGCCGTGTCGAGCTGTAGGCAAAGGAAGTGCAATTTCCACTGCTGCGTCTTCTTGTTGCCAGTATGAATGGTGTAACCCTTCTTCCTTGTCCTGAAAGAGTAGAGGGTCTTCCTCATCAGAAATTTGTTCGATTGGTGATGATGATGCCCCTCCGGCTCTCTGAACTTGAACTGGTGCCTTGGTTCGGTGTCTCTTCTGTGGTGGTTCATAGAACCTTGGCTGTTCATCTCGATCTTCTCGTTTGGGCAGGTGTTCCACCTCCATGGTGATGTCATCATACTCATTCTTTCCCAGCGGGGAAACAATGTCCGCTATTGTCCAGGGCAGTTGGATGTCTTGGTCAATTTCCGCAAGTGTTCTCTCTCTATTGGAGGCCTTTCGAAGTTGTTCGATGGAGGCCCTTCAGCAAACGGTTGTTGCGCACCAACCAAACTACTGAACTGGGTCGGACGTTGTTATCTTCATCGAATCTCGTTTCGAGAGCCAATATCCGGGCTGGTCCTGCATAGCCATAGAAGTGACCTGTCTGATATCGTTGTCCAGCCTCTTTTCGTCCTAGGTGTCTCCAGTAGAAAACCAATTCTCCTGGTGAATACAATGGAAAAGGCTTGGATTTGGAGTTCAATGCACGAGCTATTCTTTCCCTAGCCTGCCACTTCAGAAAGGTTTCCTCTGCGAGCAGCCTCAGCTTCTGGTGTTTCTCGATCTCCCCCACTGGAGTTTCCATGATGTCCACTGGAAAATCCTTCACATTGTCCCTGAAGAACCTCCCGTCAATGTCCGGTGCTTGTCCCATGGCGTGTTGAAATGGTGAAAAACCTCTGACCATCTCCCTCCGGTTCCAAATGCTGATGGCCTGTGCCACAGCTTCGTGGGAGGTTACCTGAGCGTCTTCAAGGGCTATCCTTGAGAGCAACTCCTTGAGCCATTCAATGCTCCTTTCAAGAGGTGATAAGTGCCAATGGGCGTCTCCCGGTATTGGATCTAACATCACTTGGTTTCTACTGAAGTATGAATCAAGTTCACGAGATCTCCAAGCTCCTTCGGCATCAAAACGCAAATAATCCGGGCTACCGAAGTACTGTTGCCAGTTCTCTTGATAGAACTTAGTATATTGGTCGGCCTTCACACTACCTTTTTCGCCTTCCATCAAGATCCTACCCACCAGAAACCTACTTCCTTGATCCATCAACAAACCAATGGTCACCCTCTTTTTGGTGTGTGGATGTCTCCAAAAAGCACAGTCGGCGAGAGCCACGGCCCATCGTTTCGGAACGAGTTCGAGGTTGGCGACACGACGCGGCGCCGGTCGCTTTCGCTCTTCACAAGTATCACAAACAAAACGCTTGGCCAACTCAATCACTTCCGACCTCACACCTTTTTGCCTGAGATTTCTAACTAAGGACTCCGTGCTTCCGTGTCCAGTCGCTCCATGAATGAGTCTCAACTTCTTCTCCCACTCTTTCTTCTCTTCTTGCGACAACGGCTCTTCTCCCTCTCCCGGTCTCTCTTCTTCAGGTCTCATCTCAACATCGGAACCTTCCATGTGTTCATCCCCCACAAAAGCTCTTTCTTCCAAAATGCACTTGGGACACATCTGCAGGGTACCTCTCTCCTGGAACATGGAACAATTGCAAGAACCCTTCTTGAACTTTCCCAAATGCACCTGAGGGCCATGAACAACCTCTTTGTCCACTCTGTGCAACCCTTGCATCGTTTCGTCCGTTTGGACCTTCCTCAAATAGTACACGATTCGTCGAACGAGTTGGGGGGTGTAAAACGCCGTTTGCCTGGTGGTCCAACCCTCACACTTCAGATGAACCCCTTCACACTCCACACCCCTACACACCAATTGTAACTTCGAAGCGAATTCGACGTTCGTGGACTCGACCCTCCATTCTTTTCCCAGAAGGCCCCTATTCTGAGAATCCTCAACCCCACTCTACAACCACTTATCACGGCAGTAGCGGTATTCAAGTTGGCCCGGAAACGTTCCATGTGTTCCCACTTCCAAGCCCTGCACCGTCGGCTCCATTCCCAATGCACGTGACTTCCAATCGACCTACCGTAATAAGCAACCACCATACCTCCTATGTGTTGTTTTCTGGCTTCCCTTTGTTTGTGAAGGAGATCCTTTTGCTGTTGTTCGGTTCTTTGGTTGAAATTCTGAATAGGACTGAACGCTCCACACTCAGTTGACAACCAGATGTGAACAGGTCTATGTTTCTTCACCAAGGCCAAGGTCTTCCTCAGTCCTTCTGGGGTAGTCAGGTCACATCCGTTGAACAATGACGCACGCATAGCCGTCAACCCTTTTGCGTGCGCCTCGTTGGTCAACAGCGATTCTGGTGCACATGCCACTTCCATCAAAAATACTCGGCCGTAGTCTAGAGCCTTTGTGACCTCCCAACTAATCTGGTCCAGTTTTTCTACATCACTGGAAGGGAGATCGCGAACTAGACATTTCGGCTCTTGATATATCAAGGTCGGCTCAACCTCTACTGACCCTCTGGTGGGGCTTGTTGGTTCCATCCCTGGGAAGCTTCGATCTTCTCGAATCCGGAGTTCGTGCTGGTCTTGCGGGTCTTGGAACCTGAGGAAGCAGCCTCTTTTGCCTCCTTCAACTCTGCCTCCATAGTGTGCATTTTGAACATCATCTGTTGCATCATCTCTTTGATCTCCTGCGTCTCCGAAGGTGGCTGAGCTGCATATCCCTGGGGGGCAGCCGGTGATGATGCCTTCGGTGGTGTCACTGGAGGCGTGTAGATGGCGGTCGTGACTGGGGGAGATGCAGGCTCTCCCAGGTGTTCTTCGGTCTGTTCCATCTTCTTCACCCACTGGGCGAACTGCATCAGCTTCCAGTCTGGACTCTCGCTGGTCTCCACTTCTCGCATGGCCCACAGACTGTAGGGCCGGTCGATTGTGTAGACCTCCATGAATGAAGCTCCCTTGTGCTTGCCGAACTCGATGGTCGTGTCCCCTGAGCAGTTGCTCATCACCGCCTGGCGAAGAGCCAAACGAAGCTCTCCCACTGTAGCCTTGGGGTTCATGGGCAGCTGGTAGTTGTGACTCATTTCCACCAATTCGGCTTTCTTCCCATTCTTGATCTGCTGCATCACGTCGTTGCCCGGACTGCGCATGGTGAGTTGCCCCTGGCGCAACCGGAGCTCCCTCACTGCAATCCTCACTTCGGCCAACGACAGATCCTGGTGCACTGGTTGTCCTGCCGCCCGGAGTTCTGCTCGACATTCGTTGATGCCGCACATGTAGTGAGGCTTCATGTTCGCCGCACTTTCCGCCGGGATGTACTTCTTGGGCGCCATGGTCCGCAGACGCTGAAAGAATGTGAGGGACGGATGATCGCACGACTTGCGGGTCAGAAGATACTGCGGAATTCGCGTGACTGCCTGATTCATGTCCAGCGAGAATGGTGTCTCGGGGGGTTTCACGACCGAACGATCTCGAGTCAGCACGACACTTGAACTTCTGCATGACCGCTGAAAAAAGAGGAAATTGTACAAGCCTACTCTCTTCTTTACCAAAAACATGCATACCTTTCTGAATTTCACAATGACGTGAGTGACCTCCTTTCCAATTGCCTGTTTGTTTTGGCTCCTCCCACTCGGATCCAGGCTTCTCCGAGCAGAGTCTGCTTTCCTATTCGTGGATGCTTTGAGGCTTCTCTGAAAAAGGGCCTACCACTAGCTGCTTCAAACTACTCACCGGCCGCTTCAGAAGTTCACCTCGTTGGATAAAATCACTGGTTAGAGGGAGTAGTTGATGCCCGGATGTTGATCGTTCCAGTTTGATCATTTTGTCTGGAGCGATTTTCGAGAAGATCACCTCGTCTGTGGCAAAATCAATGATGGCACCCATCTTCCGAAGGGTGTCCACTGACAAAAGAACTGGTGCCTTTCCTTCGTCCACCACATGTACTCGAAGCTGCATGGGTCGTTCTTCGTGGGGCAACTTCAAAACACATGTAGACAGGCATTTGGCTTTTTGGGAATTCCCGAAGCCAAAGGTTGGCCTGTCGGCCTCTGTGACTCCCACATGCTTGATGCCGTCCGTGCCATGGAGTCCCTTCATCACCTCCATGTATTTCTCGATGGCGTACACTGATGCCATGGTGCGGGTGGCACCGCCGTCTATCACTGCCTTCCCTTCCGTGATGGCCTTCTCGGTGGACAAAGTGGCTCGAAAAATGAAGTCTGGCTCAAGCTCTGATGATCCTGTTGCACCATAGTAATTCACCTCCCCCTCGTTTGACTGGTCTCCATCGGTCTCCTCAGGGGTGTCCTGGATGTCCATGGTGTGGTAGGTGAATTGAGCTTCATCGTCTTCTTCTTCTTGAAGAGTGGCCAATTTGGCGCTCTCTCTCTTGGGGCATTCGTGTTTGTGATGCCCTCTCTCTCCGCATCGGAAGCATGGTCCTTTTTCTCTGTCTCCTTTTTGACCTCCTGCACGTCCTCCACTCCCAATAGGATAGGATCTGTAGAACTTTCTGGTCATCTTCACCTCGTGCTGGCGAGCTCGTGCTTCCTTCAAGGTTCTCTTGGCTCCTTGCATCTGCAGCCAAGCCTGTTGTTCATCTTCTTTTGCTTCTTGATACCATGCCTTCTCTCTTTCGGTCCATCCTTCGTAGAATGCTTCAGCCTCATCAAGGGGCATGTCATAGTCTTCGTCTGCTTCTTCTCCTTGAAAGAGTGACGCATGTCTTCCTTCTCCATCTCTTTTCTTCAGTGTGTCATCTGCCCAATGAGCTCGAAGTGCATTCTCGATGCCGGCAAGAGTGAAGTTTCCTTTCACCTCTCCTTGAATGATGCTCTTCTCCATGGTATCCAATCCTGACTTTTCCAGAAGCATCCAGCCCAAGACAGCGTCAGGTAGAATACTCACCTGTTCGTCTTCTTCTACTTCTTGGGTGTCCGATCGATTGGACCAACTCTGGCGTCCCCAGGAGTGGGATTGAGATGCCTTCCATGGATAGGAATACCAGTTGGTATTTCCTTGCCAGTACCATTGATGGTCCCACCATGAGTATTGCCATGGGTCCTTCTGGGTGAGGTCGGATGATTGGACTTCCTTCAGGGGATCATCTTGGCCCCCTTGCCCTTCGTTCCCTTCTCCCACACTTTCCGCTGCAGCTGATTGGGCCGAGCTCGGCATTGAAGTCTTCACCTCCTGCTTGTGCTCTTTCATCATCCTGGCCAGTGCCCTGCACATACGCTCATACTCATCTCTATGTCGAACGCAGAATGCGGTCATTGACTCTCCCTTCTGTCTCCTCAAAACTTTGAAGTACTGTCGGAGGAAATTCCCCACCTCCGGCAGTGCTGGTTCCCCGATTGTCTTTTGAAGGTGTTGCAACAATGTCTCTGTACCCTGCTCTTCGCTCAACCAACTGCTTTTCTTTCCCATGATGGCAGTGCGAGCTGCTCCCGTGAGCTCTGCTGCAATCTTGGGCCCACACGTGTACCTGGCTTCAAACTTTGTCGATGCGACATACAAGCGGGCAGCTTGTTTGAACTCCAGCCATGTCGCCGGGTCCCCATTCCATCCAGGTACTCCATCTTTCGTTCTTGTAATCGTCATCCTCAGGGATCCTGATATTCTCGAGATGCTCGAGGTACTCAGTCAAATAGGTCGTAGATCACAAAGGGCTCCGCTACCATGTAGGATCCCTCAAGCGCCGCACACAAAAGTCCTTTCTCACAAGCGCTAACGATGCGTTCTATCGCTCTTCAAGGATTGCTAAAGTGAACTGGGCAAAAGGGGCCAAATGGCTTGTGGACGCAAATGTGTTTGACGTCCTGCAATGACACTACTGAAAGTGCAACATGGAAGTGGAAAACCCACTGTTTGTAGAGGAAAGTAGTCTTCCAAGAGGCCATGCCATCCACTTCCATGTTAGTGAGTCAGAGTGTACTCCCACTTGCGGTCTTCGATGTGTTACATTCAAGCAATTGATTCCCCTTGGGCCCCTTTCCGAAAAGAACTGCACGGCACGGGGGGACGGGTGCCTTTTTTTGGCTCCTTCCCACCCCATTCGCCCGTGAACCTACGTCACCCTGTGAACTCGTCACCTACCTCATCACCTTCATGTGGCAAGGCTTGCCCCTCGTGCACTCACTGGTTCACTCGGAACTCGTCGCTCGGAACTCGGAACTCGCTCGCTCGTGGGAGGCCTTCTCTTCTTCGGCTTCTGGTGTTTGGTGGCCTGGCTCGGAAAGCAATGGGCCGAGTACGAGATGCGCCTCGTTGAGAGGCGGCGGGACGTCCCAAGCGGAATGAGCGAAGCACGCGAACGCGGAGCGGGTGGAGGGGGAGCCGCCCAAGGGATGGAAGTGTTCGGTGCTTCAGTGGGATTCCAAAATGGATGCTGAGAGCTCTATATATTGAAAAACATCAGTTTTTTGGAATGTCCGATGTAATTTCCACTAGAGTCGAGAATGACTGGCCTTGAGGCCACAAGAAAGAGGGGATTCTGTAAAAATTCTGCAGTGACATCTAATTATCTTTTTTGGGCTGTCAGTTTGCAGGAATTTGGACATTTTGGGCAGCCCAGCGATTTCGTTGTCACTTTGTGATTGTTTATCGATGATGCAGCCGAAAAGTGGTAAAACAATGCGCGAAAGACGTTGAGCAAGTCACCTTGCTTGTAGTGCAGGCAAACCTGAATCCCCTCATTTTCTAGACCCTACAACTCACCTTCTACTACATCTACTACATGCAATGTACAACGTCACTCGGTGAATTCACACGACCTGTATTTTATTCTTTACTTATTCTTTTATTGGGGCGGGACACTTCAAGGCCAATGGATGCTCTAGATGGTGGGTACCACATCCGTAGTTGTTCTGCATGTGGTGGGACGATCCCATGCTTGTTTGGAGTTCCTGCGTGGGGACGAACCACTTCGCTCTTCTGGGGCGTTCGTTCGCCTCAACGACGGCTGGGGGGGGTGGTGGTGGGTGGTTTCTTCATGTTCATGTTTCTACTAGCTTTTTGTTTCTAATAGCTTCTTGTTACTACTAGTAAGGCACTTGTTACTAGAAGCGATGCACTTGTTTCTACTAGCTCATTGTTTCTAATCCTCCAAAAGAACCGTCTCATTCACGTTCCGTTTCGTCTCATTCACCTTCGATCCCTCCATCACTGCCGCCGCCGAACCGGCGCGAACGGCGGCCGCTTCCGGCGCGAACGGAGGGTCGACTCGACGTGATGGAGTCCACTCGGTGCGAAGGGTCGTTGGTGGTCCAAGATCGCTCAGGTTCCTACCGGGTATATCTACACATAATAGTGAACAGTGCTTCAGCTCTCCCCAGATCCTTTCTTTCAAGGGTCCCCGGGTGAGTTCTCCATCGCACATGAGTGGTTCTGCTGCTGATTCCGCCGTCAGGGAGGAGGCCGAGAAGACGCGCCGCCGGAAACGGAAAGTGCCGGAGGAGTAGCGCCGGCAGCGCAGAGATCGCTCGCGAAGTGGGCACAAAGCAAGGGCTGGGCGAGGGATCGGAGGGGTCATCAGTGTGGATCCCCCCCAACATCTCATCTCCCGCGCGTTCTCTTTTTCCCCCTGCTGGATGCACGTGGCGGATTTCGGTCGCCGGCGAGGTGGAATGGTGAGGCGTTTGGTGAGGGGGATCAGGTTTTCTGACAGACCCACATTGCTCAGTCTCGGTGCTTTGGATGCCTCCAAAGCCTCCGGGGTCTCTGGACACCCATTCCAACAACTGAACAGGTTGCTTTCTCCTTTTGAATCATGCCCTCGCTCCCAGAGCTCTGCCCATTTTCTGCCTGGTCGTCCTCTGTGTTGTATTGGTACTTCCCCTCGGACCGTGTTTTTGGAAGACCAGCTGCATGAGGTGGGAAGAAGGGGGAGGGGGGTTTTGTTTGGGGCGTCTGCTGGAGGGTGCTCCAGAGAGGAGGGCTCGGATGGGCAAGTTCTCCAAGGCTTTGTAGGGAAGATTGGAGTCAAGTTGCTTGGGGTCCAGACCCAAAATGGCTTCTGAAAGTGAGCAGGTACCCCAAGGCCCTATACATATACCTGGAGCCTGAGTGACCCCTGTTTTGAAGGATCAACTATCCAAAATATGGTCTTTTCCTATTTTCGGACTTTCGTCAAAGGTGGTCAAGTGGACAAAGCTTTTATAAGTCCAGTTAAACATGTTGTACAAGAAGTGAAGAACACACAAAAAAAACATCAGACCAGCAGTCACAAGACGGGGGTGCTATCCATGGAGGAAGTCGGAGTGCCCAAAACCACATCCACATCCACATCCACTGGATTTGACGAGCCACACCACCCGGTACTTGTGACTGCTGGGACACATATTTTCATCATGGATGATCAGTTCATTCTTCAGTTCTTTGGACTCGCTGGGACTTGCCGCGCCTTCTTCGGACGCCGCGTTCCCGACGGTTCCACCCGGTTGGGGTCCGTCCTTCTTCGATTGCAGCGACTGTTCGGACTCGGATTTCTGTTCGACAGGACGTTTGGCCACCCATGGACTTGGTCAGCACTCTTGGACTTTCGCCCCAAGAAAGAACCATGCGGATGCCAGTCTACAAGCTTGCCAAAAGGGACGAGATCATAGGTCTTCCTTCCCCTTTGGACAGTCCATCGATCGGTGCAGTCCGCTGGGTCCGCTGCGATTTCTCGTGGTCGCCTTCGATCGTGGCCCAAGCGCCAAGCGCATTGCGAAAAGCGCCAAGTTTTCAACAGGCCCGGGGCCAACGCCGAGCGGGACGTGCGGGACGCGCGGGACGCGCCTGGATTTGAGGTCTGATGCAGCAGAAGGGTCGTGTCCAAAGGTCTTCACGGACCCAACACACTGTAGGAAGCTAAAGCATCACCCACCAGTAGCTGAAGTGGTTTTTCTAAGTGTTCAACCACTGCAAAGGTGATGCTTGGTAGAAGACCCATTTAACTCATCTGCAGACAAGCAGCTTGCATCACTCTGACTGGTCGTTCGCAGCACAGGCTTTCTAGATGGAAGAACGACACTCGCGGCTGAATCACTTCCTGGGACTTCAGCCAAGAGTTCTGACAGTTTTCTCTCTTTCCACACCGTTTCACCCTGCTCCGACTCCCAATGATCTTTGAAAGATGCCCTCCTTTTGGTTGATGTGCTTGACAAGGCTCTGGTCAACCCCTCCAAAATCCATTGAAACCTTCAACTCTTGATCCCCCCGAAAACCAGCAAAGAGCTCCAAAAGGGCCTGGATCCGAGCTACAAGGATGGACAGCAAATGGTTGTATCGTTTCCGTATGTTTCCGTGTTGATTTGATCAGTAAACGCTACAGTAAAAGGATTCGATGTGCACATGATACCTCAGAATCTCTCTGATTTGATGCCCAGAACGCACCCGAGGTGAGCACCGCAAGAATGGCCGACACCGGTGTCGCGGCCGTCGCCCGGCGAGTCCGGGTCCGGGACCGGGGGGTCTGCCTCCGCACCAACTGGCTGGCTGTGGGTCTCTCGACCCAGCGAGAGACCCACCGCTGTTTTCCGAACATGACTAATAGGACGGAGTACTGAGGAGGTCAACCTAATCGGGTGCTCCAAACAGGAGGTCGAACACGCCACCGTCTCGCCGCGGCGAGCGGCCGCGGCGAGCGGCGAGATGGTCGTGTTCGGGCTCGAGATGGTCGGCCAACACGAAGAAAGCGAAGGGGGTCCTGAAGCCATTCCCACACGCGACCTGTCTGGGACTGCCATAGGACGGCGGCATATCTTCCACACATGGAGTGTATGGGGATTTGGTGGTGTAATTGAAATGTGGGGGGACTCTCTGGCCCAATGGATTTGGCGGCCTTCGCCCTTCTGGTCAGAGCCCGTGGTCTTTTCGCCGCATCTGCGTCCCTCCCCGGTGAGAGGCGTGATTTCGGGTCAGGACACAACCAATGGATTTGGGTCGGTTTCCCCAAAACTCCATTCCAGTAAAGAGTCAGGTCATCGCGGTGATCGGAAGAAGAGTGATGAAGAAGTTCGGGCATTCTCCCGAGGCCAAAATAGAAGTGGACTGAATTCTGAAAGAACTGCTGGCGAAAAAATGGTGGCAAAGATCGCATCGATGTCAAATATGTCAAAAATGCGAGCAACCTGGCCTGATGTAACAATTGAACACTTCTCCTGCCCGGCTGATGTTCATTTAGAAGTTGACCAATCTACAAGCTCTGGGGGTCACGAGGTCTCTTGAACAAGTTCTGTTGAAACCATGTCAAAGACGCCACCGAAACGGAACATGGTGACTGAACTGCAGCATCCCATGCGCCACACGGCACGATGTTCGGCACCAGCCAAGTAAAGGACCTTCCTTTTCGGATCACCCAAAGACCGTTTTGAACATGGTCGACTGGACTATCCCCAATCAGAAGAACAAGGGTGGTTTTCACCGCCATGATTCACATGCCCCCTTCGCCGTCCATGAAAGTTCTTCGTAGGCGTTCTTCGTAGGCCTCGTTTTCCCTGCCCCCACTGGGAGGTCTATGTGGGTGTGTCTTCAACTAGGGAGACCGACCCCCCAGCGTTCCTTTTCCCCTGGGTTCGGGAAACCGGGGGAGTGCCATGTCCTATGTCATAGGATGTCATAGGTATATACCTCAGTCTCCTCACCTCAGTATCTATTCTCGTGGTTTCTGGGTGTCCTCCTCCTCCTCCTCCTCCAACCCTCCTCCCCCGCCACACTCCTCCGGTCGCCACCCCGCGTACCGATGGCTCGCCCGAGGCCAAGCCGACCAGCTTCTGGGACGGCTTCGCCTGTTGCGCGAGCAGGCGCCGCTGTACGACAGCCGGGGGCGAAGCGGGACGGCCGCGCCGCTAGGCCGAACGGGGTTCTGACGAACGGGGGCAGCGTAGGCGACCGTCGTTGCCCCCCAAAACATCGACGGAGCTGCTGCGGAGCGGGGATGGTCGTAGCGAACCTTGCTCCGTTCGTGTCTGCCAGGAGCCCCCGGTTCGGAGCTTCTGGTGTCACACCCGGGTGTTTTTTGTTTTTCTGTTTTGGGCTCCCTCTGGTTCGGGCGTTGCCAGTCCCGCCTCCCGTCCACGAGCCGACCTGGAAAGGGCGCAACGGGGACCTGCGGGGACCTGCCCGTCGTCGTGGGGACGGGCAGGTCATGTCACTCTGCCCCTCTCTTGGGCATAGCCCTAAAGGTTGACTATAGGACATTGATATCAAAACACTAAAAGGACATAAAAGGAACTTTTGATATCATACTAGATGACTGATGGCTCCACCAAGTCATCTCAACATCCGTCATCTATCCAGTCCAGGTCGTTTCGGGTCAAACAATCTTTGTCAGTCCGAACCAAAAAGCGGATCCCGTGTGTTTTGCCACGTCTCCGCAGCCAGCGTGTTCAGACCCGTCCCACAGTCCCAACGAACGAACTTCCTTTCGCGAAGGCCAAGGGCTAACGCAGCTGAAATCACCCAAGTTCTGGGTTTCTTTGTTTCTGGCAACACGTGTTCTCGGGGGAAACACCAGCATAGGATTTTATAATTAAATTATAGATTGCCCACTCAGTCCCACCGTTGGTCCCCAAACAGCGTGGACACACGACTTGCACGGGGTTCTGATGGTATCGGTTTAAGACACCCGACCCGCCGCCGTTCGCCACGACGGTGTACGCTGCTCCGAAGTCGGCTCCGCGCGCGACATACGCGGCGCGACGCGACGAAGCCAAGCAGCGCAGGCAAGATGAGAATGATGCAGGGGGAGCCCAGTGGAAACCGGTGGATGCCAAATTTGCAGTAGATGTGGCAGCACTTCAAGCCTCTAAAAGGGTCACCGACAAAGGACTTGATTCAAGACCAATTTAAACATCGTCTTGGACTGTTAAGGGGGGATGGTTTTTCATTGGTTCCATGCCCACAGTCCTTGTGAATCGTTTATCACTGTCACCACCTCCCATGGTGGCTGTGTGTCTCAGCCTCCGGGCTGGTCACGGCTGGTCAGGTCACGGTGGTCGGAGTCTGCGAGATGTCTCGGTGGTGATGGGTCTGGGGTCCTTGGATTTTTCGTTGACGTCGTTCCGTGATGGGTCACAAGACCCCCCCATGGTCACCAGGCAGGGAACCTCCTCGAGACGGTCGTCTGACGGTGTCGACAGTTCAGATTTCGAGCATGCCAACACCTTCGGACCGGATTCGCATCTGGGGTTTCGGTTTCACTGAACTGCGGATCAAGGGGGTCTCCTTCGGTCACTGAACTAACTATAGCCGCTCGCTATGAACAACAAAGGATCTCTCTCTCCTTCGGTCACCACCTCTCGACCCGTTGGCTTTTCCTCTCATCTCTCTCGACCGCTGGAGACTGTCCACCCGACCCGACACTCCGACGACCCGACCGTCTCAGATGGAATGTCCTCGCCGAAGAGTGAGGAGGAGAGGTGAGAGGTGGACCGCCCACACCGTTTGGCTCGAGGATTTGGTCCAGGTCACGCGGATCTGTGGATTCGTCCAGCGATCTGCCGATGGTGGGCTTGGCGCTTGCAAGGCTGTCGACCCCCAAGCAGCCAGAGGCCGTTGGTGTCTTGCTCAGAGTAGATTTGAAGAAAACCAGGAAGGCACTGCAATCGGAGCTGGGTATCGGTTTTCAGCTTTCTTCCCCGTCCCAGCGCTCTAACAGTCCGTGTAAACCACCTCTTGGAAGTACCATCTATACTGAATCATCAAGTGCACTCGTTTTCAATATGGCAGTGGGTCATGGCCCCATCTGAGGAGACGATACCTGGCTCTTCGAGGACACCGACAACAACTCGGATTGCTCCGACGATCCCAGTGAGTCCTGCTCCCCGCTGGACAACCGCGGCCGTCTGAGTCCTTTCATCTGGAAGGGTGGCACCCGACGGTTAAGGCGCACGGCGGAAGTGGTGGCGGAAGAGATGAGGCGGCCGGACAAACCACCGGAAACCACCGCCGCGCCGAAACGAGAAACGAGATGACGAGAAACGGAAGCATGGATTCCGTCCACAAGCTCCGATATCTTCAAAACAATATACCAACGATTTTGATCGATTTTGTAGGATTTTTGAGAACTGATCCACTGACCCCGACTGTCTGTGCTTTCGCCCATCAGGATCGGCCACCGCCTGCACGAATTCGACGCCAACCGCCTCGTGGAGGGAGGCCCGGTGGGAAGGGAGGAACGGGGTGGGGTGGCCAAAGGCGGGAATCAAGCTATTGTCGGACATGACAAAGCGCAGAAATTCCTGGGGTGTCTCATGGTGGGAGAAGCCCCACATCAGACTGAGTGTCATATTCCAGCTAGACACCAAGAGGGTGTGGAATGGATAATGGTCTCCGTTGAGATGGAGGATTGAGAATGGTGCTCAGAAAACCTGTAGATCTACCATGGTCTACCTGCCTGATTGACCCGTAGCCCGCGTGTCATGAAACCTCACCGCTGCAGAACCTCAGGTGAAGAGCAACACTCAGCGCTTCACTTGGCGGCACTCTTGGGCATCTCGGACTGACCTGATGAAGTTTCTTTCGGGTCTTCTTCCGGTTTGGGACTTGGGACGCCGATGGCCAACAGGTGATCGTACGCCTTGCAGTCCGGGGAGGCTTGCAGTCCGGCTTGCCGGATATGAATCCGGCACGCCCGGCTGGCTCGATAGTTTGGTTTCCTCCAAGTCGCTTCCACAAAGACATAGGTCATAGATGGTCATAGGTAGATTTCTGGATCTTCCACGATGCGCCAGACCCCAAGAGTTTCCTGGTTTTTGGCACTCCAAATGCCAGACAGCTCCTAAGGCGACGATCGAGCAGTGCTGTTTCTCCTCCTCAATGGTGCAGACCGTTGGGAAGTGACTGTGACCGGCCAATCCGCCTTGGATCTTGCCAACTTGGCCAACAAGTCCGGGTCACATGACCAAGTCATCGCTTTGTTGAAAAGTCCAAGGTTGGAAGAGGATGCTGTGCCGGAATACCTGCTAGCACCAGAAGAATCGGATGATGACCATGATAACGAGTTTCCAGCACAGGGAGTGTAGACTGGAGGCTTTTAATGCACATTGATTCACTGTCAGGACCAATCAGAACCACGCATTGCAGCAACAAGACGTTGCAGTCGTAGGTGCACTGATTCCTTGTTAGGAGGCTTTTCATTCTTTTCAAGGTTTGCTGTGGGAACATCCAAGACGACAGAGGGTCATGTGCAAAAGCCCAAAAGTCCTCCTGTCACGCAGAGGTTACATTTAGAGTTGTGCTCTTTCGCTTCTTGACGAGGAGCACCATTCAGCCATGCGCTATTCCACGAGGATATATCCTTTGATAGGATCTATTCTTTTTGACCTTTGGTCAACAAGCTCGCAAGGACTCATGAAAGACAGAATTATACCGCCGCACCAAGCTGACAGATGCCACGTACCTGGCCTTGAGGCTATTGTCTTATAGTTCTCTGCCTTGCTTGTTAACACAAAGGACTTAGATGAGAGCCCATGACTCTCCAGAAACCCATCGCATGTCGAGCAGCTTTCCTGTGCATTCCACAGCAAGTTGGGCTGTGGTGTTGATGCTCCAGGTGCCATGTACCGGGGCACAAGACGGGCTGGGAAGAACATTCCCAGCCAAGAAGAGCGCAGGACCTGCTAGCATCGACCTGCTGGCGCACGCAACTCGAGTGCAGCCAAAAGGCCGGCGAAGCATTTGCGATGCACTCGAAACCTGCGATGGTGGGTTAAAGATGGTCAACAGGTAGAGAAGGTTCCCAAGTTCTCTCTCTGACTTCAAAGACCGGCCCTTCCTTCCTGTGACAGTTGAAATCCATGGTTTCGGGTTTGACCCACCTGTTTTGGGCCTTCCAAAACCCGATGAGGTCCACGGTCCCCCCACGGCAGACCGCGCCACGTCCCAGGCAGAGGGCGTGGTGAACTCCATGCCCTACGGCAGCGACGTGGGAAAGATCGAGGCGGAACCCCGCGGGGCACCGCGACGCTCGGGGGGAACGAGGAACAAGAAGCGACGAAGGTAGCTGGAGGCCGGGGCATCGCGTCTCGAACGCAGCGTTCGGACGCTACGAACGGGGCGCTCCTGGCCTTACTACGAACGTAACAAGAAGCTACTAGGGGCTCCTGGCATCGCTACTAGGAGCGATCGGTCGCTAGCAGGGGCTCCTGGCCTTACTACTAGGAGCATTCTAACTACTAGTAACAAGAAGCTACGCACGTATATTCAGAAGGGGCTTGATGGATCGGAGGCCTCGATTCGGCCCAAGCCAGGAGGTTTGGTCAGGTCGGGTCGAGGAGAGAACGGACAGATTCGTGGCGATCCGTTCGTATTTAGTTTGTTTGGTGGGAGGGAACATGAGGATGTAAACACAAAACACCTCCAACAGATAAACCAAACATAACATACTACTGTTTTTGATAAGATAAGATAAGACCATTTGTTTTGGGTTTGTTTCTGATCCAAAGTAGAGGTCACTCAGGTTACATATATAGACATTGGTTTGATGCTCTTCCATTTGCCATCTGGTTTGGTGATCTACACATGATTGCCACCACGTTTCACCATCTTGGTCTCACTTCAGATCTCTCCAAAACCGCACTGGTTTGTTATGGTCCTATGGTTAGTTATTGGGTTTCGCTCAATGCCACTTTGATCGGCACGAGAGTTCTCTCATTCGGGGAGGTGTCATCACCGCTTCTTCAGATTGATTGGCACCAAAGAAAGATTTGGCGTCAAGTGAGGAACTTCAGCGTCAAGTGAGGAAAGCTAGGACAGTTGGATCTGCAGCATGGGCCACAAATATCCCCCCTATCCCCGTGTCAGTGATTGGGAGTTGGGTGTATTGCTTTCCCCTCCACGTCTTCGAAGCAAACCACCGGAACCATCGAACCAACCCCAAAACCAACGAGTTCGATCGGTCCAGGGCCCTCGGGTCGTGCTCGTGGGGCCCTTCGGCCGTTCCTCCATGGGGTCGAAGCACAATTCGACTCGACCTGCCGACTCAACTCATCCCGACTCACTCCCTACCGGTCGAGCCGGGAGCCGGGAGCCAGCCTCAGGACACCGAGCTGGTGGAGCGGCCTGAAACCGAGGCCGCCGAAAATGGTGGGGTGGGGGGTGAGGAGGTGAGGAGTTCTACACGTGCTGTTGATGTGTGTTTTGCTTCAGAGATGAGAGTGGTATAGAAAGAACCACCGAGCTGATGATGGGCAAAAGTGGCTTGGATCCATTTTTGGGTTTGTTTTACACTCAGGTCCAAACATGATGAAGCCACAGCGGCTAGTGCGAAGGCAACAAAAAGAACCCACAGCTTCCGCATGTTGGGACAAAGTGCACTCTTGTGATTTGGGTGGAAGTGAGTGAAATGCCAAACGATCCATGATTCAATCATCCACCCATAGTTATATATGATATATGAATGCTTGGCCAAACGAAATATGGTAACAAACAAAAAGCCCAAGTCCGAAATGCCAAACATCATAGGCCCCAGAAAGCAATACAACTACCAATTGTATCAATATCCCCCAGTGCATTTCCACTACAGAATGGGAGTGCTCGAGCTATAGAATGGGGTGTCCAAGGTCACCCCGTTATGTACAGGGGGATGTATCAATATATTTTGGTCGTTTCCTTGTCGTTTTTACGGTTTCGGTTTGGGACCGTTCCTCTCCGGTCTACCGCACTGAAGTGGTAGACCGGAGCGGTCAAAGTCCAATGACGCAAGAGGCCCAAAGCCAGAGACAACCCCATGCAAGGCTACTGATGCATATATATATACACATACATATACATACATCCAAACCTCGATTTTTGAATGATTTAGACCTTTCGGATATTTATCTCCTAACAGCAACGGAGCTTCCTTTTGAGCAATAGGAGATTTGTTTGCGACCGGGTCGTCCTTTGGCAGATTCATGTCAGACTCCTCACACAGTATGTCAGTATGTCCAGCCATTTGCCACTGGACAAGGAAGTTCCGTGGCGTGGCTCACTTGGGGATGAGTCTTCCTGGGGCCAAGGATTGAGTCTTCCTGGGGATGTGGTTGGTGTTGATTCATCAAACAGTTTTCACCCTTGGAACGCTCACTCACAGAAGCTCCGGTCGATTCAACCGGACTGATCTTGCAGCAGCCGAAACGCCATCAGCAAGACACTCGTTAAGACACATCAGCAGCCGAAAACGACCCCCTTCCAAAGCACCGACCGCTATTTCCGTGGTTTCAGAGGTTTGATGGCACTGGCACCCCAAGATGTCTCTTAGATGGGGATCCATATACTGTAAACCACCCAACTTGGGGATTGTGCCATCTACCTCTCAATCCACGATGTTTTTTCCTCTTGTTAATTTTTCTTTCCGGCGCGGTTTGAGACACCGAAGCAAAGGTGGAAGCTGGAGCCAAGTGCGCCCGGCGGTCGTTTCGTTTTCGCCCGGTTGGTTGGCGGTGGTTTGGGGGGAACGAGCTCGGAGAAGGGTCGAAGACTTCGCGGTTCTAGTAGCTTCTTGCTACTATACCTGGACCCTCCTGTCGGGGTGTCCTGGCTGGACTACCCCACACTACCTATAGGCTTCCAGACAGGGCACCCCTTGGAGGGTTCTGGTAGAAGTGGTGCACTTGTTACCAGTAGCGATGCACTTGCTCCTTTCCTTGGAATTTTTCACCCCCATCTCCGCTTGACGGTCGCGAAGTCGGCCACTCGAATCCGGGGACGTGGGGAGACCGGTTTCCCCACTCAAATCCGTTCCAGGTGGAGTTCGTTTGATGCAGTTTCTGATTTTCCAGGGATCGATCGATCGATCTGAGCGATCGGCTCCGTGGCATCGGAAGGATTTGGTCCGGAGCAAGGATTTGGGAGAAGGGGCTCCGTGGACCACGGAGCAGGACGGTGGCAGTCCTGTTCCTTCTCCCCCCTCTCGAAGACTTTTCGTCTCCCTCACCACCATCTCAATCCACCTGGCACGAGGGAAGTTCCTGGGTCCTGGAAGGGAGAAGGAGGACGCGCCAAACAGCCGACACGCCTTCGCCGAGCCTAGCTGTTTGGCCGCCTGGCTCTTCCGGCCTGGCCAAGCCGGCAACTGCCATTGGCACACGATCCACATGGAGAAGAAGCCGATCAAATTCTGCCGGAAGACTTCCAGCGACAGTACTGAGAAGTTCCTCAACTGAACTTGTTAGTGACCTTGTTACCAGGCCAGTTTTGCAAGTCCAGATTTCTACCTTTGAGACTTCCAGACTTCCCGCCTTGGTTCAACCAGACCCTCTGCACACGCGTGCGTGCGGTCTCAATGGACCCTACGGTGGTGAGCCTCCAATCCCAAGGCCTTGGTTCCTTGTTCCGAGGAGCCCCCAAATGGGGGTGTGCATGTAATGGAGGCAAATGGAGTGTCTAGGTTGTATAGGTTAGTTCTGTTTTGTGGCAAATGGAGTGTCTAGTTCTAGAACTAACATCGGCACCATGAACTCTGGTAAACCCAGGGGCAGGTGCTTGAGGGAAGCCCGTGCTCCTTGGGCTCGTGCTGGATGGCCCGAGCGTCTTGCCACCGGTCACCCACACGTCGTTCTGCCGGCGACGGAGAGTCCACCTTTAGGACACCTTCGAAAGTGCACGCAGGTACAAGGGCCAGTGGCGTGGCTCCCAGTGCCATGGCAAAGGTACCTTGACGCGCCCAGATGGGTCTTCCTATGAAGGATACTTTCAAGGCGGGGGGCCCGTGGGGGCCGGGCCAGATCAGGTGATGATGTTGGTGATGTTAAGCGAGTAACAAGTGCATCGCTACGAGTAACAAGGGCATTACTAGTAACAAGAAGGTACTAGCAACTAGAAACAATTAGAAGATGTTAGAGGATGTTGGAGGTACATTCTTCAGATGGCAGATGGGGTGATTCTATGGGGTGATCGTGTTGGTCCCAGTTGTGAAAGCAGCTTGGGTATGGTGTCATTCATGAGTGGGTTTGTCTTCAATTCACCCTGCGGCCGGTTGCATATTGATCCACTTCACCACAAAAAGCAGGGATTTGGATGGTTCCACATCATGCAATCAAACCTGCCCTGATTTGTGGGGTGTGATGCTATTAACAGAATGTAGTAAACATCATCCCAGCTCCAGCTACCAAAACCTTGCCATTATCATATGCATATCCATGCCATATCTACCTAGAGCCCAAGACACGACCTCTCTGTTTTGATAGGATATTTGACCATATTTTGGGTGGTTGGGTGATCCAAAACGCCGACTTTTGGCTCCATTTGGGTACCTTCCAGCCTTCCGTCATGCTGGCGCCTTCAGTTGGCACTTCTGCTGGGCTACCCTTAACCCCCCTGCGCATCCCGGCCTTTTCTCGTTTTCTTACGTTCCTTTCTGTCCCCGAAGCTCTCGAAGCTCCGGCAAGCATGCGCACCTCTGTCCTCCCCCAACGGACCGGCTGCGCATGTCCGTGCGTTGGCCGGCCGAAGGCCGAAGGGGCCGAAGGCCGAAGGAAAAGAGGTGTTCTTTCCTCGTTCAGGTTTTTTCAAACATCCTTTTCGGTGGTTCGGCCTTCCTCGTTCAGGTGTTCTTTCCTTTCCTCGTTTCGGTGGTTCAGGTTTTCCACTCGTCGTTCAGGTTTCGGTGGTTCTTTTCGGTTTCGTGTGGTTTCGGGAGACTTTTGTTTCCATTCTTTTCATCGGATTTCTACAGAACCTGTCTGAAGAGATGATGAGATTGGGTCGAGAAACCAGAACCATCCCGCCCCGCGCCACAAGCCAGGCGGCCGAGCTCATGGCTACGGGAAGTTCAAGGCAGCGAATGGCAACGTTTACGAAGGAGATTGGTACCAGGTGCGGTCTCCACACGCCTTCGCCTTCTGCGGTACCAGAGTGGCGGAGACGTGGCGCGTCGGCGCGTCGGCGCGCGGCGTGTCGACGGCGCGCGCGAGTCGGTGGGTGGTCCTCAACGGAGTCGACGGTGTGGAGCTTGGGGCGAGTCCGGCGAGCCTGGGCGAGCCTGGGTGAGCCTGGAAAATGGAGTCTGGCAGACTGGACATGGGGAAAATCATGGGAGAAAAGACCGGTGCACCAGGGGCGGTGTATACGGTATAGAGGTGATCGGTCTCGCACGGGTCAGTTCGAAGGCATGTTTTCCAAGAGCTGCTCGCTTGAAAGAGTCAAGCAAGCGTTGGACTGGTTGGTGCATAAGGCACAAACCAAACAGGCAGACACTTGGATTCTTTGCACTTTGGATTTGGAGTTCCTTGACAGGACCTTTGGTTTATGTTCAGGTTGTTTTGACAGAGGAGATCTACTGAACCTGGTAGCCCAGGCTACCCAGCACGGGAAGAACGGTTCACCCCCAAGTAGGTAGACCTGTACAGGTTGTGATTCTTTTTCTTTTCAATCTTGGGTGCAAGAATCTTTATTTCAGCTTGTCCATTTGGGGTGGGGTGTCCATTCCCGGTTAACCTCTGTCTGAATCTTGCTGTACCAAAGAGCCTGCTTTTTCCATCGTGCACAGGACCGTGCGCAGGGCCACGGGGTGTACGTTGGGAGCTTGGTGGTGAGGGAAGTACATGGATTGTATGGCGGAGCTCGGCCGGGGCAACATGAATGTCAGATTCCCCCAAATTCAGACCCAGAGTGGAAGCAGGTGACCAACATTTTGTCCTTCAGCACTCGTGCTGGGGGAGATTTGGGGAGGCTGCATTGGGACCCCAAAGCCAGAGTTCTATGGGCCGACATCACGACCAGCTCTTTGAGCTTGGTTGATAGGGTCCGGGACGGATTGACACATCCGGGACACACCACCGCGTTGCCGTGCGGGTTGGACATGCGGGTCTCGGGCCGTTGGACATCACCTTTAGCCGGTGAGGGAGAGGACGGAGACGGAACGTCTGGCCGTCCCAGCGGGGCAGACCGTACCGTCCCAGGGGCAGCGCAGGAAGAGGAACTTCGTGTTCACATCGGCTTCTTTTACACCTGAAAGGATCTGATAAGCTTCGTTCTTCCTTGGATTGTACCAGACCAAGCTCCCCATCTTCATCCTGGCTGAAGATGGATTAGGGGACTCGTATCCCTGAAGGGCGTCATCTGCTTTTGTTTGCCAGAAGGCACACCTAGATGGGAAGGGCTTTCTGTATATGTACAACTGGGGTCACTGGGTCCGTCCGATTGCCTGTAACAGTTCAGCAAAGGCCCAAAAAACTATGTCTCGCCTTTTCAGAGAAAGGCCTATCACTATCCACTGTTGTTCCTCTGGTGGGCTGGGACGTACCCAACATCACCGACGGACGCCCCCGCCGCCCCGACAGCACTGACCCCACGGGCCCCACGGTCTCGTCCATCGGTTTCGGCTCCGCCAAGACTCACGAAGATGGAAGCACCTATGTTGGCCAGTGGCTCCAGGTCGCTTTAGGGTTTAGGGTCTGAACCGGTCGCTTTAGGGTGCTTTTGAGGTGCGCACAGATAGAATTCGCTCCAAGAAGGAAGAGAGAGCTATAGGTCTGGTTTGAACAAAGAACGATGGCTCGAAGCAACTGGCGATCCTCTTCACAGCCACAAGGCAGAGCTACCGGAGGCTGGCATCCAAACAGTCTTAGTCTTCTAACCGGTGGGCTTCATCGACCGTGCCAAGTCCGATTCTGGATCTTGAGCTATGCACCTCTAGCTATCGCACCTCCAAGGGAAGAAATGCCACAGAATTCAATTCACCTCTACCAAGCCCATCCAAACATCCATCTTCGAAGAAAACAACGGCCCGGTTGAGTTTCAGCTCATTTGCATGACATTGATTTTCTACTTTGAACGGTTGTACCAACTTCCTCCATCTCTCCCGCTTGTTGCTGTTGTTGCTGTTGCTGTTGCCGTTGCTGTTGTTGTTGCTGCTGTTGTTGTTGTTGTTGTGGTTGTTGTTGTGGTTGTTGTTGTCGCCGTCGCCGTCGTCGTCTCCCCCAAGCTGGCCACAACCACAGGTCGTTTGCTCTGCAAAGAAAAACACGGTCCGTTCGTTTCAGGCCGTCTTTTCTTTTGCGCGCTGAAAACAGGGTGCGCAGACTTTGGCTGCCTGGCATGTTCCCCTTTTTTTGGTTTCTTCGCGTTCCGTGAAATTGGAGAAGTTCAACGACCGAACAGGGCACCTGAACCATGACCGTGTGCTGTCCGATGACCCACCGCTTGGTCGATGACCCAACCCGCATGTCTTTGGCGTCCGTCCGGTCCGGTGGTCGCACCGTCCCCGGTTCGCGGTCCGTCGGTCCGCCGTGGCCGGGTCCCAACCGGGCGGTGTTCGCTCCTTCCCAGTGTCCCCAGGAAGCAAAGCGGAGCCCTGGGGGTTCGGTTCGCGGACCATGTCGTTTCGCCACGGTGAAGCAGATGGTTCGGTTGGTGGGGTGGGGCGAGAGGATGGGGTCTGACCAGTCCTTCCGGTAGACACGGTCGCCGGGTACGCGGAGAGAGGATCTGGGGTACCATCCCCACATACTCTGGGCACCTACGGCCATCGGTCGCATGGAGGTTATGGGCCTCTACCCTAGCGATGGCCTTCATCCTCATGCAGGATCCAGAACTTCCGACGTGCGCTCCGCAGGACGAGAAGTCGGGCAAGGGCATGGAGAAGTGGGCTGATGGCCCGGGTGCTCAAGCGCCGCCTGGCGCTCTGGACGTACCCTGCAACGTGTGGGAATTGGGGAGAGAGAAGAGGTTGAATAGGTGGTTGGATGTTGTTGGGCTTCCCGGTCGTGGTGATAAAGCCGGGTTTCTCGCAGATCTCGCAGATCGTTTCTTGGCAGGCTTTGATTGGTGACCATTGGTGAGCCAGAACCGAGATCTTGCCTGTTTTGATCTAAGCTGATCAGCACCGACAGTGCAACTTCGAATTTTCGGTGAAGTGAGTCACACACATTTTCGTGCACACCTGAGCTAAGCCACGTCGCTTCAACCTGATAACTACAACTTACACAGCGCATGTTTTTTTGTACTTGAGGTGAACATCCTGTCAAGCTAGCAGCCTCCAATGTTTTGAAAGAGTGGTGTGTTTAGGTATATGGGTATGCCTTGTGTAGTTCCCTTGTGTAGTTCCGTACCTCTGAACCGCTATGGTCTCTCGCAAGCACCAACAGCACCTCAATGCGCACCCCAATGCTGCATGCCGCACAGGCTCCAAGTACGAGGGCGAGTTCCTTCAAGGTAGTAAGCACGGCCTGGGAGCCCAGTTGACGCCGCAGGTGCGGCTTGGCAGGTGCCATCATTTGGTGCAGACCGGTGGTGAAAACGAACGAGGGGACGACCGAATCTTCTACCTAAGAACCCATGGTAAAAGCTCTGTTTTGCTAGGAACAGACCATGCTTTGAGTGGTTGAACATCTCAAAATAGAAGTCACTTGTCAGATTCGAGGTACATACACAGAATTTTAAAACACCAAAACCATCGCTTCGGTCGATCGCTTCGGGGGTGACTTGGCCCATTTCCCGTCTTGGACCGTCCCCGCCTTTGTCGTCCCCGCCGTTCCGAAGGATCTGTTTGTTTCCTTTGATTTTCTTCCTTTATGAACTACCCTAAGAGCGTCTGGCCCGAAGCATAGGGCCAGGGTTTGCTTCGGACTCCGTTTTCCCCCTGCGTGAAACGGTGGGTGTCAGGTCCGACCCCTGCGGAGAGCTCGTTCGGATTCTTAGGGTAAGAACACATGACCCTCCCTGCAACACTCATGGTTACGTGGATGGCACCCCCTCTTGATAGAGGAACATCGTCTTCCTTTCGGGGCCACGGCGGCCACGTAAGCATCATTGTTTCCTGGAACCCCAAACAACCGGAAACAAATGGTTGTTCCATATGGCTTGCTTGAAATCCTTTACATAGGAAATGGTTGGGACTGGGGAGTTCCATCCATTTCTTTCTGGTTGGGACTGGGGTTCCAGTTTCAGGGAGCTGTAACAGATTGAAAGGGGTCTTTCCTTCTCCACGGATCCCATGCAAGGGATCCGGCGTCCGGTCAGGTCGAAGAAGGCTTCCTTAGAACGGTCCCCACATGCATGTGCAGTACTCTTTTTCTTTTCTCAGATGAACCACCACGGAGGGGAGGGAGACAGGGAGAGAGAGGGTTGCAAGGAGAAGGAGCCGAAAGACCCTGATGCCATTGTTGGCCAGACGGCCATGGCAGTTCGAAGACCTTGCGGGTCGAAAAGAACCGAGGGCCACGTCCGCCCCGTCTCCTCTCCGTCTCGCCGGCGCCTCGAGGCATGGGCACCTATACCGCGGCCAACGGCAAGGTGGTCTATGAGGTGGCATCGTGTGTGCCGATGACCTGGGTGGGCTCCGGTGGGTGTTCTTACGGCAAGGGTGGTTGGTTTCGAAGGGGATGAAGTTGAAGAGATTCGGACCCAGAAACTCTGAAGGTACCTTGAAGCTTGATCAGACCTCCTTTTTTACTCCAAGGTGAGAACCTCCTTTTCGACCTCAACTCGCAGAATTTATTGACCTTCTTTTCGTTCTGGAATGGAACATTGGAGCTCTTCCCCAACGACACCTTTCTCTTGCTGCCTTTCGTCATGTTGACTGAAGGGCTGTTTCAGGTTTCTGGAAGGCTCGGTGACCAAGGTATGAATTGGAGGATGGGATACTCATCACTTCCAGCAACCTTCCGATCCTCCAATCTGATCATTCTCAGATCCCAAACTGATTATGAGTATGGTTCTGTGGGTCTCCTAGCCTACAGGAGATCCTAGGATCTCCATCTGGGATAGCCATGGTCACGTGGAGTTCACCACCAGTTTGCAGAGAAACATGCTCGTCCCTCATCGGGTGGTCGCTTTCCATCCACGTGGAGCGCGGGGGACCCCGGCAGGGCTGCCCGCTTCACCTGTTCGACAGGAAAACGATCAGAAGAGATCGGAAGAATCGGAAGACCATGGTTTCAAAGTCGTTGACATGCCTCTCTACAGGTCAGTTGGACCTCATGCTCTACTCATTCTCAAAAGCACCTACTGTATATATGTCAGTTTGGAGTTCTCGGTTTTCAGGAGCAGGTTTTGGACCTGCTCCGGGTGCTTTCATGACTCTTGTTTCAGCTCGCTCGGGGGTCGACAGCGTGTTGAGCTGCTGTGCCTTTGGGTGGAGCGAGCTTAGACCCACCACCGCCATAGTCCGCCCACGCGGCGTTTTTTCCCGTTCTTTGCCGGGGGTCAACGGCAGACACAGATGCATGTGGGGCAGAGATCAGATGTTCGAGGGTTGGGCAGGGAGGTCTCGGCCCTCCGAAGGAGTGGGGAAAGTGTGAAAAGAAGCGGACCGTTGTGGCCTGTTGTACCTCCTCTATCCGTATACGTTGGGTCTGTCCGTACTTACCCGAAACAATCAGTAAACAATTTTTACTATTTTTGAACAAGGCCTGCAACATAAGCATCATTATCCAGTGTTACAGGTATTAGGATAGACCCAATGTATACGGTATAGGGTCTTAAACCTGTTTGTTGATTGTGGAGACCCCACATAGGCATGTTCAGCTCCTGTTCCCGAAGTAGGCCAGCAAGTTGCACATCAATGGGCTGCAATTCAGTTGGGTGGGAGAGGCCACATATGCCCGTTTTCCTCGGGGGTTTTCTCGACCTGAATGTAAAATTCTTGGCAGGTGCCACATCCGTGCGCATGAATGGTAGCCCATTTCCATGCCATAGATCTGAGGTTCTTCCGCGGTTTCTTCGTCCTCCGCGGTTTAAACCAAACGCCCTCGCGTCCTCGCGACCCGACCCTTTTGGCCGACCCGACCCTTTTGGCTCAAGAAGCTACGACTGGGGCTGGCGCCAACAAAGGCGCCGGCCATTCTTTTCCAGATCAAGTAGATCAGACCAAGCTTATCCAACTGGAAATGACTGAAGACTTGAACGGAAGGTCATTTTGGGAGGCTTGCAGGTCGTGGCAAGATGTTATGCCAGTCTTGTTGGACTCAGCTCACAGTTTGGGGCGAAAAGAATGGCCTCATTATCCCCTCAAGCACTGCTACTTGGGACTGCAGTGATTGACCCGACTTGTTACCCCCAGGGACCACTGGATCTCGCACCTCAGGTCGCCCAGCCGTCCTGCCCAGCCATGTCTGACTCCACTTTCACCAAGCCTAGAGGTAGACTGGTAGACCTAGTCAGCACCCTGAGCCCAGTGGTAAGGTGGTGTTGCTGGAAAGGCCCTAAAACAACTGCCACGCTGGGGCCGCACCGATGTACGCGCGTGGTGAGAAGCCACAGCTGCTGCAAAGGATTCCTTCAGCAGCTGGGCTTTTGCATAGTAAAGAGGGGGAGGCCGATGCCACGGACAGTGATACGGACGATTCAGAAAGCTGAGTGTTCCAGCGTTTTCTGAATCGAGTGCTGTGACCACGGACGGTGGTGTTGTTTCTATCGAAATCGATTGAAATCTATCGAACAGAGAAGGCACATGTTGTGAGCAAATGGGGCCTCAACTGTTGGCTTCTATGCCAGAACCCAAGGTTTCTGCGTGAAACACATGCATATTTGCAGGCAGGTTTCTAAATGTTCTTCTCTCACCTGGTTCTTCAGTTCGTGACCGAACTTGATCTCCCCTCATGAACGAGACCAACAGGCCTGTAGGCCAGGCCACTATAAGGGACTCCCAGGCCAGGTCACGAACTGAAGAAGCTGGTAGATGACTGCTTCACCCGAGCCGTCTTGGCCCCCGTCTTCCGTTTTGGAGCCCTCGGCATTCGGTCGACGGAGCGGGGCCCCACATCCGTTGGCGGCTTCAGTTCCCTAGTTGGGTGGTTGATCGTAGGAAGTTGGGTGGTTTACGTAAAGTCGTTGCACTGGCTAAGACGGTGGGAGAACAGCTCGTTCCGTAGCAACATGAGAGAACTAGCACGTGGGACCCCGAGCTTTGGAATGTTGAAAGACATAGCCATCCTAACTTTTGGATCCCGATGGTGAGAGAACAGTTCCAAAACGCACTTCATCCTCTTTCTTCGTTTGTTTCATCAAACCGTTTCGCGTCTTTTCACGATTTTTTCAATCCTTTCAATCCTTGTACAATCAAAAATACCTCAGACCCGGCCCGGTGCCTTCCTTTTTTTTATTTTTTTTCTTTTTCTCTCTCTCTCTCTCTATTAGAGTGTCGAGGCCATCGCAGTTGTAGGTGGGAGGCCGTTGCCCTCTAGGTCGGAAGGCCATCGCCTCCGCGAGCTCCCTCCCTCTCCCTCTCCCTCTCCCTCTCCGGTCCACGGTGCCTCTCGGTGCACCGGCCCAGGACCCCAAGGGTCGGAAGCGCGGCTCCTCCTTGGGCCGGCCGCGGGCGCTCACGGTGCCGGCGCCCGAGGCGGTCGGTGGGACCCCGGGACGGGACCGGGGAGCAAGGGTAGGTGGGTGGGTGGGTGGAAGGGTAGCGAGAGGCTGTTGGGGATATTTTTTTGGGGGGGATTCTTGTGGGGTTGGGAGATAGGAGATGGGTAGAGTTGGGTAGGAACTTGGAGAGAATAAACAGACATCAAGCAGAATATGACTCCTGTCAATGTGCTCAGGTGTTTATTGGAACTCATCCAGACTGCATACTTTATGTACCTGGTGATGAATGCTGTTTGTTTCAGATGATCATTTCTCGGTGATTGTTGTCTATTAGTCGCTCCCGCTCAGTGGAGCGAGGATAGATAGCAGATAGAATTCTTCTCCCAGCAAGTGACAACAACTGGATGGGCGAAGAACTTGCCTCACAAGCTTAAGACACACTTCCAAAGGGTAGCAGTGGTCTTCATTCATCCGATTGCCGCAGTCCGCACCACAACTGGTGGCCACACACTCCAATTGAACACTTCCCACGGATGGGACTGGAAGGTAGGTGTACCGGAAGGTACACCAAGTGGCCCAGGTGCCGGACATTCTTCCGCTGATGTGGGGAAACATCTTGTCAGGAAACACCAATGGACAAATTCTGAATGTCCTGCATAAATCCAAGGCCAGTGAACTCTTCCTATGACCAGTGGATGGATAGGGTATGAACCATCGCAAAAGCAGTGATGAACCAATGCCCTCTTCACAAGAAGTTTCTTCCCCATCAACGGCCAACAGCTCATCTGTATTTGGCTTACCATATTATGTGCTCACTTAAAGAAGCCAACCCTTAAGCCCCGCGCGGTACTTTCAGCGCCAAACTCTTCTTCTTGCAGGTGCTTGCGAGACGTGATTTACAGGAGAGGGGTGTGTTGTCGTCACCAAGGCCACAAGGGCTGTTGGAAAAGTATGCAGAAGTACCTACAAAGAGATTGTCCACCCTAGTATTGATGGCCTCCAACCTACGACCGCGATGGCCTCCACCCTAGTAGCTATGGCCTCCAACCTACTAGCGATGGCCTCCAACCTCATCACTGCACCTCATCACTGCGAATCCTTCGTCTCCTCCTTGGACGGTCCCGCCCTCGTCGCGGGTCAGCGACGCTCGGTCCTTGCAGTTCTCCGACCCCCTTGGCGTTGGTTCTCTAACTTGGTAGAAGACCTGCAAGAAAGCTGAGCGAGGTGAACGAGGAATTTCTCCTCCACATAGGGCTGTTCCACCAGATCTATGAATGTAGACTCTTGATTCATCAAACCCCCAACCAAATCAGATTGAAAGACCTCTCTTCAGGTTTCGCTGATTTGAATTTGAATCTGTTTGAAATCAAATCCAGGGTCTACATGAACGACATCAAATTTCGGTTCATGAGCATTTGCTCCGAACCAGCAGGGCCTTTTTGCAAGTGAATTCTGTTTTGCCAACTTGCACCGTCCGCCGCTGGCATGCTTTCAGAGGTCTTCAGGGACATACGTAGCAGTTGTCCCATGGGATAGATGGCTCTCAGACCATGCTGCCATTTCTAGGGTGTGTCCCAGTGTGTCCCAGTAACAGTCGCTCAACGATGAGCACCATCCTCGGAGGATGTCGGCCTGCCTCATGCCTCATTTCACATTGGTCACATGGGCGTTCTCTAGTCGGTCATGCCACAAAGAACATCTACTGAGGACCCAACAGCTTGGTAGTGGTCATGCCATAAGAGAACAGGAACATTCACTGAGGACCGAAGCATGTTTTGTGGTGTAAAGAATTGTAAACCTGAAGAACCTGGACCCACCTGGACCCAACTGGACCCATCTCAACCAATCTGCACCCACCTGAACCCATCTGGACCGGGAGTCTCGTTCTCGGCTTCCCCCCAGGCCACCGTCCGTCGGACCTCCAGGACCCCGGCCGCTCACCGTTGCTGCCTGGGGCCATGCGCCAGGCTGTGGCGCCCGAGCGAACGACTGTCACA